AGAAAATAAGTGTATCGTAAAGTTGTATTCGGAAAGAATAAACCAGTTTTGTTAAGTAAGGACTTGTGTCGCTAAAGTTTCGTCGGAATGAAGTTACGGAAAATCAATTAACAAACGGAGACGTAACGCCACCTTTGTTTTCTTTACTAGTATGACTACTAGCACGTACTTTAACCACGGATATACTAGAACTTCGTAATGCCTTATCTTTGAAACACGAGATTGAAAACAGCATGAAGTGAAAGAAAGAATGAAAAATAAAATCATTTTGAAATAGAGGGTAGACATCATTTTGTATCATTATTCATATTTCAACAGTTTACGAAAAAAGAGAACCATCCATATTACTTCTTTCCAATAAAATTGGATCCTATCCTTTGACTTCACTATATATAATTCTATTTATCTTATGAACTGTTTCTATTTGCCAATAAGTAAAAGTAATTCTGTTGTGTTTGTACCTTTTGTTCATCTAAAGAATTATTTGTGTAAGTAAACATAATGCTAGATTGGTGCTAAATCTCTACTGTCAATTCCAAGCATTACTTATTTATCAAAAATGTATTTGGATCACTAGAGAAAGTTTCTTAGAACTTAATAAGCAAGTATGCTGCATTTGCTGTTCTACAGCTTCTTTACTGAGGAAACAGAAGAGTTTTCATTTTGTAAACATGAAAAATGTTCCACTGTTACAAAGATGACAGTCCTATGTTTTCTGCTATAGTTACTTTCACCGCCACATTTATAGCATTTAACACTTTCACTATAGGCTTGGTATAAAATACACGAGTTCGTATACACATTTGCACACGTTAAGTATTTATTCTATAACGTTTAATGCTGTGTGTGTATCTTCACAAAATTTGGCAGACTTTTAGTAATGATTTCAAGTCTTTTGTACACAAAAAAATAGATTTTTAATGAAAACTTTTTACTAAATATTTGGTAGTGAAAATATCGAGTCTGTTTCTTTACTAGTCCGAGTGTGAAGTGATTTTCATGTCATAATTAAAAAACTATTCTTTGTCCCAAAAAGCTCAAATATCATTTTTTGCAATCTCTAAAAACACCTAAATACATTTCAGATGTTTGTTTTCAGTAAAACTTTATATTTGTATGTTATTTTCTCTACCCTAATTGTACAGGGTCTGTCAATTTGACCGACCTCCTAACCACCATAAAAAAATTAGGAAATAAATAAAAATTATGCTTATTTGTTCATGAAAACACAAATGTTTAGTCTAAATAGCATAAATATCATTACATTATACATTTATACATATTTAATATTTTCATTATGTTGACCTTCCAGTCGTGCCTGGCAAACAATACGATGATGTGGTGCATGTGCACTAATGTTACAATATCCAATAATATAAAACTGACCTTTAGTCTTTACAAAGTGACCTGTCTTGACTGTTCTTTAGTGGACTAGTATTTTGTAAAATACAGTCACATTTCAGTAATGATACATTATATATGTATATACATTATTACTATTTGCAAATAAGTTCTTAAACTTATTTTCTTAAAACATAAAACAGTAAATGAGGAAGTAAAGCAAACAATTATCTCTTCATATTATGACCTTTTTACTCAGTTGCTGCTTCTCGTAGCTTGCTAAGTCTTAGGAAATTTTGCATGTGGAGGATGTGAAACAAAATAATGTTTTTAAAATTTTATATATACATTTGAATAAGCAAAACATCATAAATTACTACACCAATACCATAGAATTCCATTATAATTTTTAAAGTTTAGTAACTAAGCTGTATTTTGGTTAAAAAAAGAAATTTCGAGAAGACTAAAGACACAACCTATCTCCTTGATATCTCGTTATGAAAAACAAGATGGCATCCTAACACATGAAAATGGCTTAGAAAGCCACTAGGGGACATTCTGAGCCTTCGATTGGTTATTCACATGTCATATACAAAGGTAAGTGTATATAAGGGACTGTTTCCAAAAATGGAAAGAACTGAGTGGGGTCACTGTGTTTCATTCAGTACACGAGCATTATCTCAATAAATAGAAAAGATAGGAAGTTCTTATTTTATGTCCTAGCTTTTTTAACCCTATCACCCCATGTATTTTTTACTGCGCATGACAAGGTCTTACATTCATAATTTTATTATACTAATTTTTGTTTATGTTATACTAATTATAATAGCATAAAATCTTAGTTACTAATCCATATTTTAATAGTATACAGGTTTTAAGTTCTTAATTCTACAATGGTATATTACAAATATCCTGAATTGTTAATGCCCTGATTAAAGAAATCCCTTGGCTTTGAAGCAAAAACATGTCAATGTCCTCTTTAACACCTTCCAATTTGCATACGTTTTTCCCATTAAGATGGTGTTGCAGTGAACGAAAAAGATGGTATTCTGATGGTGCCATATCTGGAGAATATGTTGGGTGGGGAAGAACTTCCCAACTTCATAATCTTGTATTGCGTCAAACATACCACATGTGGACGTGCATTGTCATGGAGAAACAGAA